ACAGGAACAGATGAAGGCGAATAATATTACAGTGAAGTTTGGTGTATGATACTGTTATAGTGAAGACTAGCTTTCATTCACTTATCTCTTTTATAAACAAAATTTTAAAGTGTTTGGTTACATTTATATGTGATGCTTATTGGTTTTTAACATGCATCAAGGTAGGTGTGGGTTAGATGGTTATCTTCCATCACAATGAGCAACTACAGATCTGAGTTTGTTCACAGTTGAGCGATGTTGGCAGTAACAGTCACCAAGATCAGTAATGGAAAAAAGATGTAAACTTACCATATCAGTAAAACATTTAGCAATTAAAAATTGTGCTGTCATCTCCATATTTTATGCCTTGAAGTGGGTGATGAAGCTGTGGTAACGTATTTTGAGTGTTGTGTAAAGGATGTAAGGGATTAACATAAATACCTGCTTATAAGTTGAATCCAGCTGAAAACTGGAGAAACCAGATCTGCTATCACATAATGTGCTTGCAGATCCAAGTCTTCATAGTTTGTTAGGAATAATCAGTGGAACAAATAGCATAGACATTTATCTGCTGGCACATTGTGTGATTGCAGATCAGGGTCTGTGTTGTTTGCTGTTGGTCCTCAGATAATATGCAGGTATGCATGTTACTTGTTTTAAGCAGAATACATGCTTTGACAATAAACAAAAGTTGCTTATAATTTAAATAGAAAACTGAAATAAAAGGGACGTCTGCATAAAGATGCTAGGAAATAATAAGGCTGAATAGAAACCACATCCTGAATGAAAAAATTACATAGACTACCCTGAGCTAATGTACATTTTTTTTACATAAGTATTTTTAAAGTACTACAGACTTTTTGAGTGAATGGGAAATTATAGTACCAACTTATGGATGGATAACTCATATACAGTAGTTGTCAAATTTTGCAGTAAAAATATATTGACCTATGATGGCAGTGTCTCACTCTCACTATTGACCTATATTGATCTATCAGAAAAGACAGTACTATTAAATGTAACATTGCAGATCTGATTCCAAAAACTGACATTACCCATTATAAACTTGTATTTTTTTCAGAGTTATCTTATTTTTCTGAAATCTGTTTTTCATAATAATGAATGTTTGATTTATTGCTAAATAATGCATTTTTGTGTTCTTTGTGAATAAATTTTGCCAATTACATAAAATACTTTGTGAATAAATTTTGTCACCAGCATCATATATACAACCTGAAAAATATGCTACTCTAGAAAATTTTGGTGACTTAAAAGTTGATAATCTTCACACAAAAGCATATGTGCCATAATTTTTTTAATGCCAGCATATATTGTTTCCACCAAAATGTATCACTGAGAATTTTGATCAGCACTGTTGATTTTGTTGAATTGCTTATGCCATCATAGTACTTTGAGTGAGACACTGCCATCGAGCAAGTTGTAGTTAGTTGTAACAGAGCCTTACTCTGCACCTAAGTTAATTTAAAATTACATTTTAAGTGTAACATAGTTGTATTTGTTGACCCATCTACAATTATTTGCATTTTATAGGGTGTAGTGATTGAAATGAAAGTTGTAGACCGTGTCCCAATGCATGTGACAGTATTTTATTGCACACTTTAGTTTGGCAGAAAGAACCATTTATTTTCAACCACATGACAGTCATTTTCATCAAGATTATTTGCCTCAACTAGAAACGATTAAGATGTAAATTAGTTTTTAGATCATCTCACTGTAAGCTTATGGTATAGCCCTTAGTTCATCTTGTACTGTGTGGCCTAAGTCATCCATTAGGCATCCATGTTTTAGTTTCTGTCGTATATATATCAGTAACTGAGATATGATTATTACACATTTTTATGAATACGTTATTCCATTTTGCAAGGTTTGTTAGTATATACAACAGTGAATACAAATCCAAGTTAACAAATGATACAGACATAAAGAGTGTAAAATGTTACTTCAACTGAGATTTGAACTGAATCCCTAATACAAGATTTAGGTATAATATTTGAATATTGGAAAGAAAAGAATATTATTATGGTGAGGTCGGTAGTCAGTAGTTTATTATAGCCATCACATTCTTTGTTAATTAATTAATCATGAACTTGTAATTTAACCTAATTAAAATTTTATATGATAAGCACTTTGATCTAGTAGAAAGAAACTCTGCATTACTTCTCACAGTTTTTTATTATAATTAGAAATATATTTTTGATTGATAAGCAATATATGTGAAATACCTCTCACATAGTTTCTTTTATTATTAATTAGAAATATATTTTTGATTGATAAGCAATATATGTGAAATACCTCTCACATAGTTTCTTTTATTATTAATTAGAAATATATTTTTGATTGATAAGCAATATATGTGAAATACCTAAAGCTTAAGAGTATGTTTGAAAGTTTCATTCCTTCCAAAAATTAGGCTCAGATGGTTAAATTTGCTCCTTTTTTTTCTATCACTTTGTCCTTGGCAGAGAAACCAAGTTTGCAGGACTTAAAGTTGATTTTCTTTATCACTCTGAAAGTAAGTTAACGAGTATCCATATCTGAAAATTAGTGTTAAATGATGGAAAGGTCTCTGCAGACTTTATAAGCTATGTTTCTTTGATCTCACAGTTTTAATATTTAGGATCTCACAGTTTTAATATTTAATGTTACTAAGATTAGCACAATTACCTGGTACTTGAATCGTGTCCGAGTCTTTGTTTTGTATACAATGCTAACACGGGGAAAGTGTCTTTGTGGTTATAAGACCTAATAGTTTTAACCAGAATTAATGAATAAAATCAAAACTTAATTGCTTACAGCTTTTGAAAAATAGATTTTGTTGTTGTTATTGTTGTTGTTGTTGTTGAAGATGAGAAACATTTTTGGGTTGGCAGGTAAAAATTAGAGACAGTCAAAAAACCAAAAGCAAATTTTGAAATTTTGGGTTTTTTGGATGAAATATCAGCTAGATATGTGTGATACTTACCATTTCCCAGAAGTCAAGGTCACAGCAATTGAAAATATGTCAGTAACTTTCATTCCTATTAGTGTATAAGTTTTGAACCAGGGAAAATATTTTTTTTTAGAAGAACTTGAATCATTTGTATATCATGACTAGATGCAGTGTCAGGTATCACAGCCATGCTCCCTGTCTCAAGGTAATCTCATGAAAGAAAAATAGGGATACAGCAGTTAAAAATGAACTACATCTAATTCAGGGTAACTTGAAATAAAAATAAAAATAAGGATATAGCAGTTATCCACAAACTGCATATAGTTTAAGATACAACAAAAGGAAAATGAACTCCATAATTTTTAACTTTGTAATGTTTTTAATAAACCTTGAGCAACTTGTAAAACCATCATGACAGAAATGTAACTTTGTTTTGTCAAATGTAGTTTGTGTTACTAATAACACTACAGTATTGTCTTAGTAAAATAAGTAATCGAGTTGAGTTACAGACATTTAATGTAGGGTTGTGTATTGCAAGGGAGGCAACTCAAATTTGTGTAAATGATCGGGCCTAATAGTAGTTATCTCCTCTGGACTTTGTTCCCGTGTTGGTACTACGTTTTTTGCAAAAAATAATTTCTCAAATAATGTTTTAGATGTGAATATAAAGAGCTGACTTATAACAGTATGTTTATGATAGTAAAAGGACTAGCAATATTTTTGTAGGTTGTTTTCTTCCATCTAATGTTCTGTAAATTACTATCAGTTCGGTACTCCAATCCATTAGCAATATCAGTACATTCATTTAGATCTAATATGGTTGGCAAAGTTTCACCTACTTAAATAAAAATTACAGGATTGTCTTGAAGAAAACTGCTTGTCAGATTAAATTGTTCTTTCTTCCTTGAAATTCATGACACAAAACATCCAGAAGTCCACACCATTATCACAATAATAACTTGCATATATTATCCATAGGATCTTCATTATGTGACTCTGTGAGTTTCATCCTTATAATATTTTCATATTGTCATTTTAAAATAAAAAATATATTGAGGTTAACGTGTTAAAAATTGTCTTTTTTTACTTCCATTATATTGTGCGGCAGTACATTTAGAGAGCCGCTGTAGATTAGTTGGTAGAGTTTCAGGTTTGGTTATCCTAGGGTTGCAGGTTCTGTACCCACCTAAGCCGTCCTAGGTTAAGGTACCCTGGGTGACCATGTGGTCTAAGGCACAGTTCAATGACCTCTGTCCATATGGATTGTGGTCGCGGCTTGGCTAGTGTAGGCATGTGAAAAGGCTTGATAGTAGCTTCCTGTGGGTTGGTGGCTCTTCTTAGGTTTTCCAGGGTTATTCATCTGCCAAAATATACTAGCTGCCATGTACCCTATCATGTGCTGAAAAATGGCATTGAACCCACAAAACAAAATAACCAGCTCAAGTGTTGAAAGTACCAATAAATCCAAGAAATATTAAATTTAAATCAGACTTGTGATCTCTTAATAAACATTGTAAGTTTTAAAAATAAGCTATGCCTTTCTGTGTGTCAGTATATGTCTGGCCATTCTTCCATCAGAATATTTTCTAGGATGTGATTGCAGACAATCTGCTAATTCTAAAAATTTCAGGAAAAAAACCCACTTAATAATGCGCTTTATTGCTTCATTAAATCTCTGCTATAATCAGAAAATTCCCTCTCCACTCACACGTTTAAATAGAGGGTAGAATTTGCCCCAGATTTCTCAGTTCTAGAATAGACCCTGGGTTATTGATCCACTTATTGTTTAGTAATTTCTTTTAATATTACAAAATGATCATTAATATATGGTCCCTTGCTGTGTTTTTTAGCAATAACTATAATATGTCCCTGCTGTGATGTGATGTGATTATGATTTTTAATGTAGTGTTAAAAATTTTTCAGTCATATCGTTACAATGCCTGCAGTGTTGCAGTTTATAGTGATGTCTAGCACTGGGGCATCATGGTGTCCCACCCAGTCACATCCTGACACCAGGCCAACTAGTCCTAACACTAACCTCTTAATGTACCATTTTTATATGTCTTTGGTATGACTCGGCCAGGGATTGAATCTGTGACCTCCCACATCCGAGGTGGATGCTCTAACCACTAGGCCACCAGAGCGGTTATGTGACCCTGCTGTAACATGGTAGATGAGATACAAAGAACCTGACCGTGTTATAGACCAAATCTTGTTATAAACAACTGAGGGGGCGGGATAATGTGGATGCAGAATTGATTAAATGAAAATAACCTAGTTGAGATATGCACTTGTCTATTTACAACTTTGATTTGTGTAATGCAATCCATAATCCTTTAAGTAATGTACATGTTTATAATCCTTGAATTCGAGTATCAATTATAAAATTATTATTGTTATTGTTATATAAATTTATGAGTCACTTCCTGTTAGAAAACTAAATAACACATATTTTAAAAAATGGTAGTCCTTGCTTGAACTATATCCAATATCGGTAAACAATTTGCTATAATACTGTCACCAGCACAACATGATTATAGTTGTTTACATGGTACGTTTACTTGGCCTAGATTTTGGTCAGCTGGAGACAGCTATCATCTTGTTGAAGCTGCCCAAGAGATAGGGCTGTTCATAAGAAATGAAAATGTGAAGAAATTAATAAAAAGTTTAACAAACATCTTTGCAAGATAGCTCATTTTCAATTAACTTGACAGCCAGATATCTATCATATTAAGAGATTGAAAATTAATGCCAGTGTTGGTAGCAACTGAAGCAAAAAAAAATTTTCCAGCAGAAAGGAAATTTTCATGTTATAAGAAAGGCATTCCAGTCACTTTAGAAAATGCAACAGTCTATCAGACTTCATTTGCTTTTATTTAATTTTGGTTTTGACTTTGATGAAAGGTTCTTTTTTTTTTAGTGAAGATTGATTTTGATGAAATGTGCATGTTTTATTGAAGTTAATGCTTTGGAGGACCAAAGAAATTCCAGTTTTTTGTGTGGTGGCAACATCAAATAATTGTAGAACATTATTTGAAACTGAATTTGTTTCATTTGCTTCATATTTATAGAGAGCAATTTGTGATTCAGAGGTAATCTGTTTTCTTTGAAGTTTCAGCAAAACTATTTTTTCTGGGTACATTTTTGAAAACAAAGGAATTAGCATTTATAATGGATTGCAGCAGTTACTATTCCCTCCTTCAAAGATAGGTTGATTGACGGTAGTTCTGCTAGCATGACTGTTGGATAACCAAGAAGTAGATCTCCATTTTTTTAACATTTCTGTTAGCTGACTAATGTGACTTTCACATGCATGCGTCAGAGATTTAGGAAAGATCAACTTTTGATGAATACACAGGTGTTCTATTCTAAGAGGAATTGCTAGAGAAAATGCAAGTGTTTTGAAGGATTTAATTCTCTCTGAGTGAAAATAATTTTACTTACCATCCACATACAAAGGTCAGTCTAAATAGATATATAAATTACTAGCGAGTGGCAGATTTTACGATGCAATTTCGTTTGAAAGACCCATCATGAATTATGAGATAGTTCTTCGTTTGGTTGATCTCTGCTTCCAGGAGTGGCCAAAAAAAGGGTGGAGAGCTTACAGCAAACAATACTCGGGCTAGATGTCAGAGTATATAGATTACGATAACAATGCACTGTTAAGATGGTTTATCAATATGAATAAAGAATTTGTTTATGCATTTTAAATCAAGTTTGCGGCTTCCTTTAATGATCCCTCTGAATTTCTTCACTTCAAACCCAAGACTATGTATACAAGTTTAAACAGCCTACAATGTTGTAAAAAAAGATTGCCAGATGGTATATTTTGTTGTTGTTCTGGGGATTTATGCCAGTTTTCAGCACACGATAGGCTATACATGGCGGCCAGTATTAATGGTGAAGGAAGAAACTGGGAAATCACCGGAAAGAAACACCAACCGACGAGAAGCTACTGGCAAGCTTTTTCAGATATCCACATTCGCTGAATCCTGGACTCGAACCCACGAAGACAGAGGTGAGATGGCAGTGATCCATAACGGACAGCGCTTTAGACCACTTGGGTATATTTTGTCACCAAACAAAAATCACAATTTGCAACATTGGCAAAGCCCTGCATGTTCTATAAACAAACTTTTTACATGTTTTTTTTTCATACTTTTATAAAAAAGAAACTATTTTTTCATGTATGAGAAATATACATGTGTATGAAATTTCAGGAGCCACACAGGATTATCTTATATTCAAATTCATCTACGATCACTTCCCCAAAATGATATTAAACTTTTTACGTTATTTTGTGTACTTTTAAGAAAGAAAATATTTTTGTCATGTACAAGAAAAATACATGTATATGAATTTCGGAAGCCATTCCACAATTGTGTTATATCAAAATTCATGAGATAATGGAGCATGCTATAAAGGGGTTAAACTTTATGCATGTATATGATTATATGATTCATGGCTAAAGTACAGTACACATAAAATTTATTGACTATATTTTGCTCTTGCCAATGAAGGAGGATGACGAGTCAAGTTGAGTGTTTCGTGATAGATTCTGTAGCTGTTTGTCAAGTTTGTTGGAAAACAAAACATACTTCATTCTTGTGGGAAAACATGCAGCAGTTTATCCTGCTTGTAGGAAAACATGTAGCAAATGCAGAACAAAAGATCACAGTAAATTGCATTAAAACAACATGCTGCAGTTGACTGAAATTAATTTTTTTTTAATTGTGTCCTGGTCATTAATCCTATTTATGGTCAGTTTGGCTTAATAGTTTTCTAAGGACATTATGGTATTTTAAATAAAAGACGTGTAGTTGGACATAACAAATATTTTGCTGAACAGACCTCCAATATGACTTTCTTAAAAATCTTTTTATAGCTATATCTCTGGGACCCCGAGTGGCCAAGTGGTCTAAAGCGCTGTCTGTTACGGATCACTGCCATCTCACCTCTGTATGTGTTCGCGTCTAGGATTCGGCTAATGTAGATATGTGAGAAAGCTTGCCAGTAGCTTCTCGTGGATCGGTGGTTCTTTCCGGTGATTTCACGGATTATTCCTCCACCATTAATAATGGCCGCCATGAATAGCCTATCGTGTGCTGAAAAATGGCATTAAGCCCAACAACAACAACAACAACATAGCTATTTCTCTTAAACAAATATTGTACTGCAAGGAGTTTTCATAAAACAGGATTCATTTTATGTTGTCTTTATTTTCAAAGGTTGTTGATCATTCCTCCAATTTGATTGGACAATATATTGATACAGCAAATTTTGCAGAATCATCATTTGTCCTTATTTTCAAAGGTTGAATGATCATTTGTCTTTATTTTCAAAGGTTGATGATCATTCCTCCAATCTGATTTGAGAATATGTTTATACAGCAAATTTTGCTGTGACATCATTTGCTCATACAATCCGGAAAAGGTACTGTGTACTGTTGGCTGATACCGGCATTGAGAGTTATGATTGCTGATCAAGTAGCCAATGCTGCCATGAAATTCCCTATTTCCAAATGGACAATTCCATGTGTGTGTATGCATGTATGTATGTATGCATGTATGTATGTATGTATGTATGTATGTATGTATGTATGTATGTATGTATGTATGTATATATATATATATATATATATATATATATATATATATATATATATATAAAGTTGGCATCTCCAATGTACCTGGCAAATATATGGAATGAAAACTCCACAAACAAGCTTTGGATCATAACACACATCATTGGAGAGTAGCATCTGTCATATAAAACAAATCTGTATAGGTCACACACACACACACACACACACACACACACACACACACACACACACACATACTTGACATTTGAATGCTGAACCTTATCCTGAGTGCACCTTGCCAGTGTAACACATTCTTGATGACTGTATTGGTTCCACCCATTGAGACATAAGATTTGTTTTTATGTGAACTCAGAATCTTAAGATGATGTACCAGCCATGAAAATCTTTGTTGTAATATGCTTAGTACAAGAAGTTTTTAACCTTGTGTAGGGGATTTAAAAAAAATTACCATGTATTTTATATACCTCATCAAGATTTTTAACATCTTTACCTTTATCATTATTTTGTAGTACTAATGTGTTTTGTTTATTTTCCAAGTGTTTATCTTCCAAAGGTTGTATTGTAATTACAGATTTAGAACTAAATTTTCAACTGAAATTTTATAGCCTCAAGTTGATGGACTACCATTAAACCCTGTATGTTAACCTTTGAGCATAAAACCCTATATGCTGTCCTTTGAGCATTAAACCCTGTATGCTAACCTTTGAGCATTAAACCCTGTATGCTGACCTTTGAGCATTAAACCCTGTATGCTGACCTTTGAGCATTAAACCCTGTATGCTAACCTTTGAGCATTAAACCCTGAAACCCTGTATGCTGACCTTTGAGCATTAAACCCTGTATGCTGACCTTTGAGCATTAAACCCTGTATGCTGACCTTTGAGCATTAAACCCTGTATGCTGACCTTTGAGCATTAAACCCTGTATGCTAACCTTTGAGCATTAACCCTGTATGCTGACCTTTAAGCATTAAACCCTGTATGCTGACCTTTTGAGCATTAAACTCTGTATGCTGACCTCTGAGCATTAAACCCTGTATGCTGACCTTTGAGTATTAAACCCTGTATGCTGACTTTTGAGCATTTTTAAACCCTGTATGCTAACCCTTGAGCATTAAATCCTATAAGCTAACCTTTGCGCATTGAACTGTGTATATACATACCTGCACTCATCTTGAAGGAATGATGTTATTGACATGGGATTCACACCGAAAAAATTGACACTGTATGTAGTTTTTTTTTCCTAAATGAAAATGTGAACCCCCAAAGTATGGAGACCATAAGAGCTGCTTCTCCTGAACAGAAAAGCATATAGAATATGCAGTCATTGTGCTTTGTACTTTTTCTCCAGGTGTATTTTTTTACAGCTGTTTTTCTCCTTTAGCATTGTTATTCTATTTTGCATTTGATGTGTTCTTCTTTTCAGTTTTTAATATATTATTAGTTCTTAATAAAATTAGGAAAATAGTCTTTTTTTCCAAACCTTTTTATTTTTAAATTCTGACCACTTCACCTACTTTGAATTTAGACATTTCTAT